TATTTATAAATTATGCCACGGCCGCGGCCTGGTAGAATTGGCAACGTCGAAAGTGGTGTTGTTTAGTGACATACGTCCCATAAGATAACATGGCAGACAGGTGACATCAGCTCATTAATTCGCACTTTATTGATTTAAATTTATGAACATAAATCTATTAAAATATTGAACATAAAACATACAGAATTGAAAACCGAAACAATATGAATTAAAAATCTATATCTGCACATTTTAAGCGGAGTCAATGTGGCGTCGTCCTGTAATCCAGGTACTAGGGGTACTAGGAGGTCACGAATTGTGGATATTTATAGGGATGCACTGTGGATGCGATGCTCCCTGCTGTGGATTAACGTCCGCACTAGTGAGTACTACGACTATCCGCAGTACTATCCTGATAATTAGACCAATTCGTAAATTACAAGGAAAAATGTGGTTCGGATTCCACTATAAACTACTGTAGGTCCCTTAGTTGCCATTAGCTGTATGGGCTATTAATTAACAGCTGTTTCTAAGGAACATGTCGGCCTTAGTCACTAACAAGACTACAAGATCGCGCCACTCATCCTACACTCATATTTGGGTTAAAATACGCACATAGTGGCGTCCCCATCTTAAATAATTGATAATTGGTAATTGTCATAGTCCAGTAACCAATCTTTCGTAAATACAGAAATACCATTAATTAGCTGCTTCCAAACAAAACAGCTGTTACAACACCACTTGTCACTTCGAAGGCCGCGGCCTGGAATTGTGACAGGTAGCCGAATGAAACAACGAAAATGCACTACGAATAATAATTTATTTACTTAATTTATGATAAAAACAATAGTGAAGTGTTTAGCTTCCGACTTGCTGTATAATCCCATAAATTTAGTGTACAACACAAATAAGTTATTGGGGGACATAGCCTCCCGAGGAGGCTATGGGGAAAGGCGACGCGACGCGGAATTTACATGACCGATTGAATTGGATTTAGAATTTAGACTAACTGAACTGAGTGCGCTCTGCCCGTAGCCCAGAGTTGGGCGTGGAGGGGAACCAGCCAATCGCGTTGCGGCTATGCCGCGTGACGTCAGTGCAAGCCCCAGACAGTGCTGCTGCCTAACGATTCATCAGGGCATTAGGCAAACTATAGCTGCGCATTAACTGATTTCATCGAGTGACTTGCTGAGCTGTATCAGCAAATTCCAGCCATGCGCGTTACACTTTCCGAGAACGTTGGCCCGACCCAGCGCTGAGCCACGCTGACGGAATATTCCATGGTGAGGCAACTGGTTGACGCAAAAAGCTGGGAGGTTAACAGTCCAATATTACATACCCTCTTTTTATATTTGAAATAAAGCAAAGCTTCTGTGACGGTAAAGACAGGGTTTCCTGAGGGTGTAACAAAAACCTCCCCAACTGATATGTAATGGGTCTGGGAATTTTTGGGGCCGTCACATCCCCCTCCTCCTCAGACCTTGCTGACCCCAGCAAGAGGTACAGCAGGAAGCAGTGAGCGAGCCTTGCACCTGAGGACTCTCAAATCTCCATAATATGATTCTCAGCCACAGAAATTCGGCCAGCGAAGCCCAACGCCACGCCAGGGCCAATTTAAACGCCTCGTAAAATGTAACTTGATGAATTTAAATTTTCCAAACAAAAAAAACCCATTAAAAGAAAATCATATAATTGAACCCTCTAACGTCATCGCCTTTCCCTGTTAATGCCATAAATTTAACTAATTACATCCATAACTCTGGATTCCAAAAACACTAACATTCAACCTACAATCCTTACATTATATATAAAGTTATTCAATTTAAACAGCAAGTCGAAGCAAAAGAACAAAAAAACAATAAACCACAACAAACTACAATAGATAAAATCCTTCATAACTGGACCTAAAACTAACAGTAATAAACCATTTTAGTAACGATACATTAATTTTAAATTTCAAGAATAAAAATCAAACAAACAGATTCAAAGCTATCCTCATCAAGTAAAATTTAAACGATCATTGCTACTGCATTAATACAGTAATAAATCAATAGCTTAAACATCATGTATATTTTATAATGTATTTTATAATGTAGAATTTGACGTTTTCCAATGACTTGATATTGTAAGTTTTACAGGAAATAAATCGATCTTATGTCTTATGTCTTATGTTAGATGTGCGTAAAAGGTCAGGTGAGTTTATAAATTAACTAACTGGCTTAAATATTTTTAATTTGTTTTAAAAAATATTTAATTGGAAAGCTTACCAAGGCTAAAGTTTGTCTTAAATAGTTAAATAATTGTTGTGTAATCAAAGGGTGAAATAATTGAAGTTGCTGGCTTAAGTAGGATAGGCCTAACGTTGTTCCTGTGATTACTGTCTGAGCTTAAGTTAACAGTTGACTAGGCTAACTTTTTTTTGATGGTTTAATCTAGTAGCATATTCCTATAAAGTTTAGGCCGTGCCTTGGTGAAGTTTAACTTATTGGGGGAAGGCGGAATAATTAGATTTAATTGGAAAAATTAATTGGAGATAAACTAAGTTAAGTTTTGGTAACTCGTATAAAGTTAGGCTATGAATATTTCAATTAAGTGTTCAGAGAAGCTGAGGCAATAATTTTGACTTAAGGAATTGTTTTCTATTATAATGACCGACCGTGAACTTAAATTATTTTGATTAATGCCTACCGGTACAGCTAAAATTATAATAAATTAATGTTGGAATATAGCCTTAGCCTAAGGTAAGAGTAAGTTAAAGGAAAGTAGGGAACATTTTAACTAATTATCGTGGAATATGTAATTTTGAAGCTTACTTAAGAACTTTTGAAGTGTATGGTTACTCGTAAAACTAAATTTATTTTAGCTGCGTTCCAATGATGGCCGTCATGTAGGCCTATGCCTACTGTGGCAGGACATATTCAGAGCTCTATGTGGTTAGCTTGTTCATTTTAATCTGTTTAAGGTAACATTTGTTATTCGGGACAGCTCATTGGGTCGTTCAGTAAACGCCAGTGACTGTTAAATGTCCTTTGGAAGTGGTCAATAAATAGAAATATTATGAAACAGAATATAATTACTGTTGTCTTTGAATGATTAGCAGTGTAGTCCATGGGAATTATTGATTTAAAAAATTATTAGTTTAAATGATGTCAGCATTACTGGCCTACTGACGGGCTTGAAGGTTGGGAAATGCCTTGTCACAGAATTAAAGCACAGAAAACATACTATGGTCCGGACACCCCTAAGGTGCTTTTTATACCATTATAGCATGGAATGGATAAAACATTATAGGTATAATTAAAGCCATTGGATTTTTTGGTCTAAGCGGTCCAAACCTTTTTGGAACACTTCAATGTGGTTGTGACCGCCAAAAAAATCGACATAAACCTGAAAGGGCACCATTGTTAACTGTATAACTACCAGTATAGTCAGTATATATTGCATGTTTATTAATTGTCTGTATTATATTGCGTGTTTTTATTGCCTGTTATTGCTTTCCGTATGTATAGATTGTATTTATAGCCTGTTATTCATTGCCTTTTATTGATTGTTTTTTTTGTCTGCATTACCGGTTATTATTGTCTGTTAGTTTTCCTTGAATAGCATGCTTACTTAAAGTTTTTTCAAGTTTAATTTTGTTGTATTAGGTATTTAAGTGCATCAGGAATGTAAATGCATTGTAAAAGCTTATGCTTAACTACTATTGTATAAATGGTGTTACGTGTATAAATAAATAAACCAAGATTTATGTAGATTTTTTCTCTTTGATACGTTTACGATGTGCGTATTTTAACCCAAATATAATTGAAGGGTGAATGGCGCAAGCTTGTAGTCTAAGTGACTTAAGCCATCAATTAAAATACTGATTTTGGTAATTTGAGACTCCAGTGAGGAAAGCTATTTGTTATATTCTATACAGTACGAATACAGTGGGTAATATTTTTGACTTCTATAAATTAAAATTATGATTTTTTTCTTATTTAAGACTCCAGTGAACAAAGCTGTTTGTTCCCCCCTTCACAAATTAAAGGAATGTAAAATCTCTTTAGGTACTTTCTCACTTGAGATATGATTTCAGATCCTGAAACGTGTAACCTTATTTTTACAGAAAATATCCAAAGTTCCTCAAATAACTTATGCATTGTATACCTCCAAATTAAAAATACCCCCGCCGCAGCAAACCTGCAGACTAAGCGAATTTCCATTTGATTTACACTGAAATGTCTACTTAAAAATATAACTTTTATTCCCGATTTAAATAGAATTAGTTTAACAAGTACTTAGGTTTGCTGCATCAGGGAGGTAAAACTGTTTTTTTTTATGTTAATAGTTAGTAAGAAATAAAAACATTTTTCAAATTTGATCAAAATATGTTCATAAACAAGCAAACTACAACAGTTTACTTATTCTCCATAAGAATAACATGAGAATTTTAAATTTACAATTTTTTGGAATTTTCTCCGTAACCATTAGGCGCATAATAACGCTTCAATATACTAAATTATTTGTTTTTTTAAGCTCTACAAAATGGTTTGGAAATAAATTGCTAAATTTTATGTTTTTTGGGTCAAAAATGCGAAAAACCTATTTTACCCCATAAAACCCCCGTTCCCATGGTCCAATCATGCTGGATTGCGAACTCGTTCGAATAAACGTAGGTTTACACGTTTGTACCGAATTTCATCAAAATCGGATCATTTTTGCTCGAGTTATCGTGCTAACGGACACATATATATATATATATATATAAATGTATAAATATATAAATATATATATATATATATATATATATATGAATTTGAACGGATGGTGTTTTTGGTCTCTAGGGACCTCGAAACGAAAAAAAAAATCGGTCCTGCGTCCAGGTCTTATCATGAGTACGAGTACTACGGTAATAGCTTATTCCCTATATGGGAAATTCGCTAAAAAAATATAAAACATAAGACACAAAGACTTACCACCGAAATTAACTTCAAAGAGCTTTCTAACTGATGAAGGTGTGCAAGGATGAAAATATACTGTTAAGTTGTTAAAATAATACTTTAATGATATAAACATTGTGTAATGTGTGAAGGCGCAGTTCACAACCCCATGAGTAATGCAGGTGCAGCAGGGGTGGGAGACTGTGTAGGCGCACAAGCCTGTCTTACACTCATCTCCCAGGTGTCTAGTAGTTGAGACACGGAGAAGCGGCCGGGTAACTTGCGAACCCTGGACTCCAGAGCGGCCTGCAACAGTTCATCTGGTTATTTTCCTTGTTGAAAATGAGGTTTACATCTATGAATGTCTAAGATCTGTCAGCAGCTTTTTAATTGTTAGAAACTGCATTCCAATAGCATTTGAATAAAGGCATTTATTTATCTAAGTACGTGATGATCCCAGATTTGTATGCATTTCAGTTTAATTTAGATATTGATGTATTCTAATGACATACAATGACTTTGTACACACTACTTGATGTATATGCTTATGTTCTGAATTTTTAAAGGCAATAAATATAAAGCCCAATCGAGACTGACCTGTGGTAGAGTGGCGTTGGGAGACAACAACTCTAATGGCATTGGAATAATGCTAGACAAGAAATTACAAAACTTATACCTCCAAATTAAAAAAAAAAATTATAAAACATTAGACACAAAGAAATATTTAGCATAGTAGCATTTAGTATTTAAATATTTAAAGCAAAATTAGAAGAATCTTATAACATAATTTGTTTAACAACGATACCTGCACAGCTGAGAGGAACTTGGTGGCGCTGTACTCGTGGGGTGCGAGGTGACAGAGGGGGGGCGAGTGGGGGTAATCCTCAGGTACAGAGAGACTCACAGGAGGCACACAGGGGAGGTGACGGTCGTCTAGCACACACAACAGCTGTACACAGCGAGAACCTGTCTGTTGTGTCGGGTCTAGACTGACCTGTGGATCAATGTACTTTAGGTAAAAACTAGTTATGGGCCGATTCCAGAATTGGTCGATTCCTATTGCTATTGATTAAGGTTACATAGATTAGTTTTTCAGGGTGGACACAAAACCCTTGGAAAAATTTCATCCATTTCTCCTAGTTTTCCCTGCAACAAAGGTGTAAACCCGAATTAGTATTACTGGTCGCAAAGTACCCCTTTTTACTAGGGGTATGCGAGTACCCAATATTTTTGGGTCATGGCGGGCCAACAGTTTACCCGATGGGTCAGTTTAGGCCAAAACTCATTATTGGGCAAAGCTCAGGGCAAGTCGAGCCAAACTGAAGTATTTTTCTGTGATCTTGGTAAGCGTTTGTGAAGATGCACAATCCAAAATGTTGCAATGGTAGAGGTTGCACACGGTTTTTGGCTTGATCCAAGGAGATGATGATGTCACTATTACAGCAGAAAATGTTTTGCCCTTATCACAGATGAAGTTCACGATTTTGCCATGACGACAGAAGATGTTCTCAATTTTTTCGTGACCATGTAAGGTGTTTACAATTTTGCCAAAATTGTGGAATATGTTCAAAATTTGGCCGTAAGCTTGAAAGTTGTTAGCGATTTTGATGTGAACGCAAATGATGTTCTTGATTTTGCAGTGATTTCACAACTTAACCAAGACTGTGGAAAATGTTCTGGATTTTATCAGGACTGGGTTTCTGATTAAACACACGACAGTGTTTGGATTTTGCCGTATCTGCAGATAATGTTTAAGATGTTATAACATTCGGTTTTTTTCATGCGTTTTGTGAGTGCTTATATAAGCAAATACAGTATGTTTCTATGTCTTAAACCCTTCACCATTTGTCTTAAATTCAAAATACATCAAACAAAATGGCACTAAAATCATGTTTTAGTGGACCAGTTATATTTCAAAATTCACGCATGGTCCGCGATTTTTCATGGGACACAACAAATTCACACAATTCTCGATTCCTCAGAAACCTTAGTCTTTTTGTCTTTGATTAAAATGTGGGGAGATTTAAGGAAAATTATTGACAACTAAATTAAGACTGTAAGTTGTGACAGCCTAGACAAATTTATAAACTTGTTGTACAATAGTTTATCTAAAAAAACTAAAATGAGGGCAGTCAATAGCTTCCTATAAGCATACAATTAGGCTTATCGAGTAGAATTGTATAAACAGTGCCAACCGATACTCCAATAAAAATTATTGGATAATACTTTCAGTGATATCCATCTACTTAGCCTATCTCAAGAAATCTTAAATCAATTTGGCCAGGTTTTACAAAAAGTTTATAGTAAACGCTTTTGTGTTGTAGAAACAACAACTTTACCTTGAACCTTTGATCAAGCCGTGCAATTTCTCCTTGCAAAACTTCAGGTATATCATCAACTGGCTCTTCCAACTTCTTTTTCTTCAGTGGAGGAGGAAGCATCCTAGAAATATTAAACGGTTACATACATGCTTAGCAACTGTTTTTTATGCTTTGACTTGGAAGTTGTGGTTATATCTGTACAAGCAAACATTGCTCATATAAGAGTGTAGGATAGTGAAAATTAAACAAATGTAGTTGTAGATTGTTTATTCTCAATTGTGAAAAGCATTGAGGGGCAAAAGCAATTTTTATGGGGAAATTAAGCCTGCCAGAAGGGCCAGAGGACATTGAAATGTTTAAAATACTTTGCATTGTAATTTACACTGTTTATAATGGAAATAATGTTAGGCAAAGTTGTAAACTATTAAGGAATATGTTTTTGTATGCAAAAATATTTACTAACTTGATATCGGAGCCAAACAACGCCTCCAGGCAGGGTCCAAAGGTGCGTTGAAGTGTGTGATTCAACACTGGACTCTGTAGATGGGTCTGTAATGCTTCCAACAGAGGGTGTTGTTCTCTCAGCGTGGGACCCGATCCATCACCCTGGAGCAAGTCAGTAGGAGTAGCTAGATTAGGCCCAACTCTATGGATTATTCAATGATTTAATGCCATCAGTTACTATGTTTTCCCCAATCTTATAAACATACAAATACGAATAGTTTTCAAACACGTTTTAGAAACAAGCTAGTTTTTTATAGGATAGCCTAAAAATTGCAATTATTGTTTGATTGAGGTGCAAGTAAAAAATAATCCATCCTTCAACTTCAACCTGAGCCGTCCATTGTTTAGTTTAGGTGGACCTATACACCAAACTTGGTCACTCGCTAGTCTAGATTCAAATGCTCAATTCACTGATGTCTCCTGGTCGGGGAAACAACACCTTAGCTCAGCCAATAGTCTACTGCACTAACAGCCCTGGTCAATGCACAAGCGCAATGGCTCCCACAACACACAAGAAGCAGTTTTTGTTGACCGCTCGCATAAATAATTGGAAATGAAAATTTTGTTGGGATTCTCACGACGATGGCCGTAATATCAACTTTCAGGCCCAAAGATCAAATTCAACACTGAATTATTGCAAAGCGAATTCAACGTATTAACTTATTTACTACACATAAATTGATATCTGCATTCCAAGAACACTAACCCTTTTCAGATCCAGCTTTTCCAAAACAACTTCACATTTTAGAAGAGTTTCCAGAGGCACTCTTTTCCCTGGCGTTGACAGAATTTCTAACAGTTTCTTCATTTTACTAACTTTCTCCATCTGACCATCTGTAAAAAATTACAATTTAAAACAATATGTCAATACCATCAAGTTGCACTCGCTATCATTGATCTATATCTATTGAGCTATCTTGAGAGCAGTAAACCACAATATGGTGGCTCTGTAGCTCTCGGTTATTCTACAAATATGGCAAACTGCAACTAGGGTGAAACGCCAGCTAAAGTTGTCCATAATATGATTTGGTTTTACCCAAAAGCCCACTTTACTGAATCTATATAGGATGACAAGTAAGCCTTAGGACTTATAACTTTAAAACAAAAAGAGATATCAGAAACAAATTTGGCACGTCATTACTGGTAATAGTAAGCTACTTTTCTGTGTACATGGTGATCAGATGTCACGTATAGGGGACGGCGACGGCCCACAGGGAGTAAGTTGAAAAACTTAAAGGTAAGCATTGTTGATATGTGTGTCAAATTAAAGGTCTTGTTGAACTAAAAACAATGCCACAAACCAGACCTCAAATAGACAACCGAGTCAAAAATGGCAGCTGTTCAAAGATTTCTTTAATCTGCCATTTTGAATCTTTAACGGCTGCCAATTTTTACTAAGTTGTTCTTTTGAGCTCACATTTAAGGCATTGGACTCTACAAACAAAGACCTTTAATTTGATATGCATATCGCCCTATGCTTACGTTTATGATTTTCTTGTGTCTTGTGGCAGGCGCCTCCTGAAGAGGTAGCATATAATACCATTGCAAATTCAATGAACCTTTGTCAAGCTGTCATTTTTGGCTCGATTGTCCATTTGAGGTCCAGTTTGCTGCATTGTTTTTAGTTTAACAGGACCTTATATTTTATGTACATATCAACCTATGCTTACCTTAAAAATTGTCAACTTACTTCCTGTAGGCCGTCCTCTATAAGTGACATCCCATCACCTTGTACGCAAAAGGTAGCTTACTACTACCAGTAATGTTATGCCAAATTTGGTTGTGATATCTCTTTTTGTTTTAAAAGTTATAAAGTCGTCCTAAGACTTAATTGTCACCCTGTATGTACCAAAACAAACAGTTTTAAAACTGCTTATAACCTTACAATTTGCACTGAAGAAGTTATGATTTTATTTCTATTGTGATAAAATTATATAGGCTACTTCATAATTATTTATGACCTGGAGTGACTCTTTTAATCACAAGCTAAACAATTAACAGCAACTTTATGATTTGAATTGAATTTCTAGTCCGACCCATAGTCTAAGCTAGAAGTACCAACCCTCATTTCCCACACGGGCGATGACACGTCGTAGAGGCTCTATGTATTTGCTCAGTTGGCGCACCTTGGCTTGGTAGGCCTGTTCCTCTGTCTGACTGTGAGGACTAGGGGTCGGGACCGGCTGTCCCGGGGTGTTAAGTGAACTGCTTGGGGATGGAGCCATTCCTGCAGACAACACTAGCAATTAGTGATCACTTTACGTCAGATTAGATTGGACACATGGTGAAGATGAGTAAGAAACAAGATCAACTGTATCTTCGGCTAGGACCATTTATTTAGAGCCTAATGATAAAGGACAAATTCAGAGCGGGTTAGATTTTTCCTTAGACCCTGGGTGTTTGCAGTCTGCTTTTCATACTGTCGTTAGGTAATATTTTATGTAAAGGTCTTTGATTTTATTCTAATTTATTATGAAGGTAAATTTTGCCAACTATAAATTTAAAGTTTGAAGGATTATTTGTATATTATACACTTACAGAAATATGTTTACTCCTTAACACCTACAATCGGTTTCTTCAGTGGGTCTCTCCAGTTATTCAAGAAACAACTGTGTATAGAGCAGAAGGTTAAGACAGCTGGATTCTTAAACCCTCAAAAAGCAATTGATATTTTAAAGGATCAATTCAGTAAACTTATGATTACTAGTCTAAAACTATATTCACTTAGCTACCTACCCAGTTGAGTTAATTGTTAAATGTCAATTTTTTTGTCGTAAGTGTTTCTTTCTTCAATCTACAGTCAAATGTCTTACCGAGTACAGAACTTACCAACAGAGCGTAGAGAACTTCCCATTCCTCCCGATGTCATTCCCGGATTCCCTGGAGAAGGGACCAAAGCAGGAGAGGCGACCATTTGATTTCTAGGAAAAGTACAATTAATTTAGTAAAACATTAGTTAGATCATTGGTTAAAAATTATTAACACCAAAATTACTTCTGTAATAAAAAAAACCAACAACAACATACATTTATAAAAAAACTCCTTTCTCTACCAGTTATGTAGGAGGCCTTTAGTAATCTGTCAAAACAGTTGAGCAAAAAATATACATTTCAGTTTGATTGAATAGTTTATACAAAAGTGTTTGTATGAACTATCTAATAAAATATAAATGTTAGTATCCAAACTAGGGGTTGGAATGTTCCATAAAAAAACAGTGTAAAAATGCCAAAGGATGATATATGCACACATTATGTTAGAATTTTAAGAAAATATCTTTTCATGTTTTTTTTTTTTTAAGTTTGGTTTTCATCAGTTCATCAGTTGAAGACCTTATCCAACCACTTCAAGTCTGATATCAATAAGGATTGATAACGTTATCAATTTTGTTTTGATACTAAAACATTAACATTGATGTTTTGTTAAATAGCATTGGTAATGACAAATAGCACATGGGCCCAGGTGATCACTGTAACCACTCGGCTACCCAGACAACCAAAAACACTCAGACTTGAGGTAAAACCCAAAGATTAATTAACAATAATTAACGAGGTAGGTTTAAAACTTACGAGGTAGGCATTCCAGCAGGTGACTGGGTAGGAGGGGTGGGGCTCTGCTGCAGAAACTGATTTGGAGCGACGTTGCGAGGTCCGCCGTAGTTCTGGCCAATCATCTCAGCTCCCTAACAGACATGTGGTAAATTCAAAAAGTCTCATAATACAGAATAAAATTGAATATCTATGCTGAAATATACAAGTTGAATTTTACTGACAAATCTTAGTACAGGTAACTAAAATGTTAATTTTAACTGATAAAACTAAAATATGTTTCAAGTTTTTTTATTCACCTAATATTCCTTAAAGATGATTAATTAAGTCAGGAAAAACTATAAACTCTTTACATTGGTGTCATCGGTGTCGATAATAAAAATTGGCAATTAACTGTGATTCAGTTGCATATGGGTAAGCCTTAAAACACACATATTCTACCTCAAATCACATCCTAGAATCAAATTGCTTAAGTTAAACAGTTGAACCTTTAGTTGGGACTGCGAAGGAGAGTATTTGGGAATGGTGCATAGTATAGGGAATGGTTAAAAATGTTACAACGGAGGTGAAGGGGTGATAATAATCGTTACCAAAATTTTAGGCATCATCTTTTATACAAAAACGGTGTAATCCAGAATAGTGTTGGTAGCCTAGACCAACGCTGCCTGCATGCATACATAACTAAAAAGCAGTAATTGCTGTTATAATCCCCTAGAATATATTTACCTTTCTCTGTTGCATATGAGAGATCTGGCCAGATATAGGACTACCCATTTGTCCAGCCATGGGTCCCATTGGTCCCATCTGACCCCCCATAGGACCCATGGGACCCCCCATAGGACCTCCCATGGACATTTGCGACTGCATTGGTCCACCCATTGGTCCTCCCATTGATCCCATTTGATTGCCCATTTGGCCGATAACATTGCCCTGAAATAACCAAAACATGTTTTACAATATGCAACACAAAAAGACTTAGTGAAATGTAACTTATAGAAATATAATATGCATTTGGGCATAACTAATAGGTTTTATTTATATCTAATATTAAATAATCGTAAGATTATAGAAGAACTCAACTTAACAGTAATCAAGAATACCCCCGCCGCAGCAAACCTGCAGACTTAGCGAATTTCCATTTGCCTGATTGGATTTAAACTAAAATGTCTCCTTAAAAATATCACATTTATTCCCTATTTAAACAGAATTAGTTTAATGAGTACTTAGGTTTGCTGCAACAGGGAGGGTAAAAAAGTTTTTTTATGTAAAATATTAAAAGGTACTGCGGTTTAGTAAGAAATTAATGTATTTTCCAAATTTGATCAAAATATGTCCATAAACAAGCAAACTACAGCAGTTTACTTATTCTCCATAAGAATAACATGGGAATTTTAAAATTACAATTTTTTTGAATTTTCTCCGTAACAATTAGGCGCATAATAACGCTTCAATATACTAAATTATTTGTTTTTTTAAGCTCTACAAAATGGTTTGAAAAGAAATTGTGAAATTTTGTGTTTTTAGGGTCAAAAATGGGAAAAACCTATTTTTACCCCATAAAACCCCCCATAAACCCCCGTTCCCATAGTCCGATCATGCTGGTTCGCGAACTCATTCAAGTTTATCCCGCCTTACACCTTCAAACCAAATTTTATCAAAATCGGACAAAAATTACTCAAGTTGTCGTGCGGATGGACACATATATATATATATATATATCTCTATATATAGATATATAAAAATTTGAACGAATGGTGTTTTTGGCCTCTGGGGACATCAAAATGAAAAAGTAAATCGGTCCCGGGCTTAGGTCTTACCATGAGACCTACGGTAATAGCTACTTCCCTATAGGGAAATTCGCTAAAAAGGAATAATGAAATAAAACTCTTTCTTCTTTATAGTACCTTTAATAAATCATAGATTTACTGACCTGAATTTTAATTCCAATTCAATGGTTAAGGTGTTGTCAGGTTTAGAATAAACAAAAACATACATCGGTTGAGCTACTAAGAAAATGTTGCCTATTAAGTGATGTTTAATGCCATATTTTATGTGAAACATTTTACTACTGATATAGCCCTAACTAAACATTACATCTCCATGTTTTAGCTGTACTCAGTTTTAGAATCTTGGTTGAATTGAGTGTGCTAATGGAAATTACTGTAGGCCAACTTTTAAACAAGTCAAGCTGATAAAACTTTGTCCATTTGACGAATTTTAAATGGGCACAATTTTAAAATGGTCCAAGTTGAATGATTTTTTTCACAAATAGTTCTCTTCTACCTAAATATACATACCAAGTTTCATAACACTCGGTTAAAAAAGGGTAGGCAAAAAAGATTTGGTTAAAAATTAAAAAAAATGGCAGACAAGTGGTGAACAAAGTGTTATTGGAAATGCAGGACACTCTCGATTATCCGAGCACCCAGGTTATGCGAGGTCTTTTTAGGCCTACAATAAACGGGCCAGCGTACAAATAAATTGTCGGAATAAATTTCAAATCATTCTAGCGGTTTTAAAAATAATATGCAACTGAACGTTTTTTAAGCAAATAAATGAAGATTTTGAAGCTATAAGCCCAATGATAAAGGCCAGTTTTCTCAGGATAAAACAATCAGTGATTAGTAAACAAGCTTAACATTAACTTAAGTTATCTAGTGAGACAGGGTTTTACCCCCAGAACCACGATACTCTAAAAACCATAACTGACACAGAACATTTAATGTGATTACCTGAACAGGTGACTGCATTCTTTGTTGGTTGTTGGGTCGCTGATTGAGAGTCTGAAGCACTGTAAGGTTAGAACGTTGGTGTTAGAAACTCAAGAGTCAAGATAAATAACTATAGATCATTAGATTGTTAGGTTGGTCAAACAATATTCTGCACTTATTCACACCATTCAGTATTCAGCCTATGTGATTATTCATTGACAAAATGTGTATGTTACCTTTGATGTTTTCTAATAAATCCGTTGTAGTAAAATTCAACACTGTTCTGCGGGAAATAGGAGACATTTACTCAGTGATAGTAATGTTTTTTTTACTTTTTGTTTGTCGGTCAATTTATCAATTAAATTAGGGCTGTATCTATTTGAAACGGCAATATTTTTTTATTACGGCTATATCTCATAATCACCGGCTTTTAGGGGTAGGTACTGTGAGCATTCTACAAATAAAACTTTTGTACTCTGCTATCTTGTGTTGGGTGTCAGTTTGTGAACTTTCTACCTCCTTCAGACAAGAGTAGTTCTCATATGGATCTGACGAAGGTGTTCATGCCAAGATGCGCATAATCCAGAGGGATAAATTTGTACTCTAAGGCGACAACAGGTAAATTCAACATTTTTATTTACTAATTAAAAAGTATACAACCGATTATACACTTAGTGATACTTTAAGTGAGTCTAAGAATTGTAATTCATTAAAGATTGGGTGGTAGTTTGTAGAAATATCAGATCATAGGCAAATAAAAAAAAACTTACCAACCATTACTGCACAATAATAATTATTACATTAAATTACCAAAATGTTGCTATAAGAAAAATAATAATGTAATTGTAAAACAATTAACGTTTCCTTACAACATGCATTAAAAATTGTTAGAAAATATGACTACAAAAAGAAATATCCTCACAAAATTACATTACACCGCAATATTTGAATTAGAATTAGACATTCCTGTACAAATGGGCAGGGTAAAAAAATCAACAGTTTTAAAATGCAATATTTTTATTTCACACTGTAAAAACTAACACATTGGTCTAACAACTTTACTGGCTGGAAATATGAGAGTGGAGGCCTCACAGAAGCAAGAATAAGCAAATGTTGGGTAGAAAATCACAAACATTGTTTACTCTGCTGAATCCTCAATCTTCAGATGCGTAAGAAAGTTTTGAACTGAAAATTGAAGTTTCTATTTCACCAAAACAGTCAAGTTCTCAGAATAGATTACATGTTTACGGTAACAACCCACAAGGAAAGGAGGTGTGTTTCAAGACTAAAACAAGTGAAAGGTGGATATCAATTATATGACTGCTTTGTTACTGACTTATAGATCAAAAGAGATTGATACCAATTTTTTTGTGGAAGATATTGAACTATCATCGGTGTTAGAAATCGCAATGAACCAGCTAATGCATATTATTAGGTGAAAATGAATGGGAGATGATTGTAGAATGAAATGAGATAAATATGTGTAGATTTGTTACTGATTAAGACAGAATAGCATGTCCAAACAGATAGAAAACTATATTAGGTAGTAGAAGATATATAAAATTTCATTGTTATTACTCTGAAACAGCAAAGGTGTATTTCAAACTGAATATGAATTAAAAGAGTGAAGTTCTAGATAAGATGTAGGTTGAAATGAGATGATCTGTGTAAATCATCATCCAAGAAGTAGGCCTATGGAGGCTTGATGTGACCTTGATTTCTCCACAACAGAAAGTAAAACCATTACCTATTAGCTATTGCCATTGTAGAATTCCATCATTCATAAGCTTAGTAGGTCACGATCTAATCACAGAATAACGTCTTTTAAGAAATGATGAATCAAGTACTCTACAATACTTCCTAGCCTGCAGGAGTCTGCCTTCTCAACAACTCAGTTGAGACTCTCGCAGTGTATGGTAGACTTTACATTTATTTGTAAAATGAATCCATGTTTCCCAAATACATCGTGGGTAAGCTAAATGAATTTCAGTCCAAACATGCATGGTGAATTAGAAAACAAACAAGTACAAATGTTAAAGTAACTTTACACTTACGATTGGTGGCAGTGACAGGAGCCGGTCCTTGTGGCGGAACTAATCCCATCATTTGATTGCCAGATCCTGAAACAAAGATTTCATTAGATTTGTACAAAACAGACACACCTTGGTGAAGATGACTGCAGGACGAGTGTTGAAGGAATGGGACAATAGTATTGTTGTTGACTAAAATCAGCTGTTCCTTTAGCAAGGACCATTGTACAATGTACAATTATTTGTTACAGACTTACTTTGTAATACGTTCACACAACATCGTACCAGCTATCACACATTAGGTTGGTTCTCAACTCTCAACCAAATATATTCCTCAATGTGCTAACAAGAGACAAACTTGCCGTACCTTGTCTAGCTAATGTCTGAAGAGCATCAATCGGGTTCTGCATGTTCTGACCTGCTCCTCCAGCGGGTCCACCTAGAGCTGGATTCTTCTTTGAATCTAAAAAAAATTACCTCAGGTTACTTAGATCCAAGTTTTTCATATTACTTTCATAAGAAGTTTCAATAAATAGCCTACTACTCATACCTAGAAATTGTTTAACATTGCAGAAATTGTTCAAGGGATGAAACTTAGTTTGATGTGCCAGATAAGAGAGATAAATACTGCAATGCACTATCCACAATAAAAAATTTATTAAAAGTAGAGTAACTATAATTATGACAATAACACAGTATGTGAGAGGCTAGTTAAACTACAGTAGACTCCCTCTCATCCGAACTCCTCGGGACCAAGGCCAGTCCAGATAACCGTGTTTCCGCTAAAAACCTACATCCCCTATAACTCGTTATTTAGGATAGTCTATACATGATACAGGGTGAAAAAAGTGGTTTTTTTTGTAACCAACACACCCATTAATCTAAAAATGTTATAATATCTAATAATATTCGTTTGATAAGACTGGTTAACAAGTTACCTTATGAAACCTGTGCCTATTTCCCCCCCAATTACATGTTTAGATTAATGGATGAAAATAACAACAAAATGTATATAATACATAAGAATCATAACTGCTGCTTACATAATCAAAACCAACTTCGATATCATAATTTTAACAGATTACAGATAGGTCTAGGCTACAAAAAATTTGGTAAAAAAAAGAAAAATACTATTCTTATAGGAGGCCTATTTTACCTGACTTTACCCGAGCAGAGCTGCTGGGTTTCCAGGTAGTTACAAGTTAAAATACAAAACTATATTTTAATAATGACAGACACAAGTAGGGGTTTTTTGTGAATCATTAAACTCTTTGTTTATGCTCTGTGTATGAGGATATGGCTAGCAAAAAGAAAAAAAAAGCAGCATTAGGGGGTCCCAAAAATATACTGATTTTTGAGTGTATAGCAAATGGTCTGGTTGCGAGAGTGTCTCCAAGCGGAAGCTGAATTAAACAACCAAAATAAAAAGAGAAGAAGAAGGGGAGTTCTGTTCCCTAGGAATCATCTTATTGCAGGCCTACACCCCTTAAAATTATTTAGTAATATTTACAAAAAAATATAGACTAAAAAAAGAAAATCACTAGGCTATAGAATAATAATTTAATAAATAGACGATTGACCACATCCATTGATTTTTTTACCTCTGTAGATATTTATTTATTATATTATTACTATTGTATTATATACTATATAGGCTACTATTATATTTATTAGTTACTTACCTAAAAGAAAATAACTTAAAGTTATAGATAAAGAAACAATTCAAGACATACTTACTCATTTCTCGGACGTGTAAAATAAGCCGGGCAACGAATCCCAAATATTCCTCCTACAAATAAAAATAAAAATTACATTTTCATCAGTTTATTTTAATAAAAGGTAAGAAAGTTGATTGATATCGTCTATTATTAATGTACTCATTAGGTACTCATAAAGAGTATAAGATATGAAAACGAATTATCTTAATGAATGTACATAATCCAGTTTGATCAAATTATTATAGCAAATAAAAGAGATTTTTGCTTTTGCTTGAAAAAAAAAACCCAGAACTTACTTATTATATCATTCTATAACACCTTTTTATACAATAAGTATTGAATGATATACCACACAATAGTATTCCTCAAAAAAAGCTCTTTCATGTTGAACCAATTACTTTTACGGAGTTGAAAGTTTTGAAAATAATTTAATCCAACTTATCTTGTAGCCTAATATATTTAGTAACATTGTAATATTAGCCTATATTACGTTACTAGTCCTGAAAATAGGTGTTTACAGGACGAGTGTAATCGTTCCTGTGCGAGACAAAGTGACGTACAATATTTTACGCCATAAAGGTAACTTAACAATACAAATCTGTACAAATCCTTATAATTTACCACTGACTATTTTTTAATTTTTTTCCTAGAAGTCTAGGCACGAGCCTGGGATTGTTTTTCACATTACTTCAGGCTAGACCTAGGGATTGCGACAGTATCACTTAGATAAAATCCATTGTTGATTTGGCGGGATTTGAACCCGGGTCCTCAGGCACCGAAGTCTCACGCTCTAACCACTAGACCAGCTCGCTCCCCCAAAATGACCACTGACTATAGGACCAACAATCATTACTCATAATCTAGGTTATGTTTTTGTTAATAACAACTCATCAGCTGGTTGGTGTCCTGTAAAAACTCATTACAGTAAGTTTGTGTTTTAATGAAACCCCATTTGATTAAGCTGGCGGCAAACAGCTGTTTTCTGGACTAAATCCTTACGCAGGAAGTTTGTTAAAACGGTGTAGTGTGGCGTAAAAATTATTAATATAGGTTCTACTTACTTTAGTTTTGGCCTTCTGAAACACGTGGTTTTCCATTTCCATGCTGTTTTTAGTAGTTGGCATTCCCGAGCTTCGTATTGCTTCCTCGCTAAAATAAATACAAATCAAATACTTTTCAGAATTGAATTTAGGTTTTGTCCTTTAGACTAAAATAATAATAGCCTACATGGACATTGTGGTCTAGGGCTACACAGTAGTAGCAAACATGTAAGCATGGTTTTCAAACAGAGCACTTTTAGGCTACGTACACATGGGAGCGTTGCAACGCGCGTTGTAACACGCTTCAGATAAGCCTTTGCGTACACATGACAGCGTTGCAACGCGTGTTTAAGCAATTGTCTCATGGCCCATCCCGGCATAGCCATAAAAGTCGAAAAGGTAGTTTTTGTTTGGGATTTGTACCATATATATACAGAACGATAACAAAATAAAAATACCCCCATTGCAGCTTAATTTAATATTTCAATTATAAAATATTATGAATTTTTGGACTTTTAGAACGTCAAAATGAAAAAGCAAAGCGGTCCCAGGTAACCGTGCCGGGGAAAATCCCCTAAGAACACTTGTGACATCCAATTTTACAAGAACGTTTAGTTTGTATGTTTGTTTTACTTTGTAACCTATTCAAGGATATGAACTAGGGCCTAAGCTTTTTACTAAAACATGCTAACTGCTTCATTTAACGAAAGTTAAAGTCTGTCTAGCACCTTGTGAGAGCATTGTTAGGGATTGGATTTCAACAGAAGAGATAATCGTAATTACCATAAGGTATCTATATATATAAAAGGCAAAGCCCTCACTGACTGACTGACTCATTCACTCACTCATCACTAACTTAATTCTCCCACTTCCCATTTACCTAGGAGGCTGAAATTTGGTACACTGATTCTTTAGGCATTAAATAGGAAAACTAAGTGGTTTTTATTCTGATCGGACTCTCGGGCTCCGCCCCAGTGGCTCTGGAGTTTCCCATGTTTAACCTTATGAGTACTTATATTTAAATGGAATTAATGAATCTTAACAGCCGTTTCAATTAAACAAGTTGGTTCTGTTCTTGTTAACCAAAAGGTGAGTGAGCGTAGCGAACGAACTTCAATCCGGAGGCGAGTTAGCGTAGCGAACGAGCTAACCTGAAGGCAAGTGAGCGCAGCGAATGAGCTCCAACCTAAAGGTGAGTGAGCGTTGCGAACAAACTTCAATCAGGACGTGTGAGCGCAGCGAACGAGCTCCAGCCTAAAGGTGAGTGAGCGTAGCGAACGAACTTCAATCAGGACGTGATTGAGCCATGCGAACAAGCTCACTTATGAAGTTAAACGGGGCAAAGCCCGCGGGTATAGCTAGTTGTATATAAAAGTACTCAGTAAACATACATAAAACCTAAGCTTCCTCTACTCTCACATGTGTATGGTCCCATTGGAACCTTCGTAACTCGAAGCGCCCTGCTAGTGCGTGTTGCACGATGAACCTCTGAGGCGCGCATTGCAACGCGCGTTGGCCAAAGCACTGGCGCTGCATGTGTACGCACTCATTTGATTGCTGTGTTTCTAGGACGCGCGTTGCAACGCGCGACACGTGACACGTAACGCGTGTTGGGTCTTAAGCTTAGGCATGCCAATATATGGTCTTAATAATCATCGTAACCTTACTGACAAAAAGAGCCGTTAAATATTAAGATCTTTAGTATGCTTAGTTAATTTGGTTATTTCATATAGGCTAAGAACGAAAATTATGAATGAAAGAGTAAGTTGACTTACATTTTAGCAACAACACTTTGTCTAAAGTTTGGCGTCCGCCAAGAAGTTTCTTCTGCCGACATGGTTGATGATTGTTCTTCAACAAATTAGCCTATATGAACGAAGTTAAAACGATGTGATGTGAAATCAAATAATAAGTACAAAGGAATAATTTATGTGGAAAACATTATCAGTATTGTGAGTGACAGTCGCTTATGTCGTTGGTCGCTGCTGACGCTGACGACAAGGACGAGATGGAGATGACAGACGAGACGACAGGACAGGATGACACTACTCACTACTCACACTCACTCAGTCACTAGTCACACTAGAAACACCAGTCTACTCCACGGGTCTGACTTAGGGGAGGTACAAATGAGGCATTTAGTTCAAAATTCCTCCGTGAACAGCGCTGTAGTAGAGAGCACTTTGGCAATAAAGGTTTACTAATCGCAAAAATAGTTCTGTTCATAAAATAAAATTATAAATGCCTCAAATTCAATTTTACTATTTTTAATTATAAAATTAAACTATCATAACCTAACCGAACTAACCAAACTGGCTGATAAAGAAATAATATAACAAAAGTTTAGTAATCGGAAAAATAATTCTGTTTATTAAATAAAACTAGAAATTGCTCAATTAAAATTTGATAATGACTTAATAATAAAATTAAACTGTAATAACCAAACCAAACCAACCAAACTTGCTGATAATAAAAACAATCTTGGACAAAAAGTTAATGCTACTAGCGGGATTCGAACCCGGGACCTACAGTATACCAGCCCGGCACGCTAACCATTGGACCACCGAGGCCGATGGTTACCGAACGTTTTGTTACGGTAATGGCGTTCCCTCAGCTAATAAGAAGCCCTCAGCTGTCATCGTAGCCTCTTCTATACCTCCCCTGAGTAAATACCCTACTCCACTCCACCATTGGTTCAGACAGTGGTTCAGACGGAATTATTCAGATTCAGAGATCAGAGGACTTGGACTGAGTTGAGTTGGACTTAAGTGGGCTTTATACCGGTTAGTCAAATAAATAGTCAGTCTTGTTGTCTTTGTCTTGTTTGTTTGTTCTTGTTCTCTTCTCTATCAGAATCAGAGTGTGAGAGTAGTTAGTTGAATCATTAGAAACTAATAAAATAATTTAGTTTTCTTACCTTAGTATTTGGGATAGCTGTGAATAAACATGTCTTCAGTACTTCTTCCAAATGATCAAACTCCTGGATTCTCCTTTGACAACTGCAGAAGGTAGGCCTACCTACCAACAATCATTACCTACAACCAAATTAAGGTTATGTTATTGTGCTTAGTCATTTAGATTCTGTGTAGCGTAATAGGGGCAACTAACAGCAAAACACTAGTAAAGAATAGGCCCTAATTCCCCATTTAATCAATTTGACCAGTTCATGAGCTTAAAATCGTATAATAGTTTATTTGTTGCAGAGGATACGCGTCCGGTTGGATTAGGGTCTGGCAGTTACTGTCATAACCAACCAACCAAACTTGCTGATAATGAAAAAATCGAATGAAGGTTAAATTCTGTTCATAAAATTATAAATGCCAAAAAATCTAACAAAAGATGTACAGTTCAAGAAGAAATGGCATTCAAAGCCAAATCTTTGACAAAAAGTTAAAGTTGTGTACCGATTGGATTTGAACCAGGAAACTCTTGCATATCAGCCGAGCACTCAATCCACTACACCACGAACACCGATGGCTGTACATTGTATCGTTGTGGTAGCCTAATGGCGTTCTGGGCCCCCACAACCCGGTGACGTCACTGCTGGACGCCTAATCCATGTCTGGTTACCGGACGCATATCCTCTGTGTTGTTTTATAGTCATGGGCCCAGTAGTAAACCATGTGGGATCCCAGAAGATGGAAAGAATCAATCTTGATGGGCCAATTTTAACAATTATCTTAAAATGCGACTTTATTTAGGCCTATTTATTTATTTGTTTACGGTTAACTTACACCAATTTTACAGGGTTGATATGCTGATATGGGTACAATATTGAAGGATTGAGATTAGATTAACGAAAAGTGATAAACAAATGCAAGTGAAACGTGAAAGGAACATAATAACTTTAGCCTAATTAAATTTGCTTCCCACTTCTGCCTTTTCTCATGCTTTTTTACTTTTTTTTGTTATTTTGCAGAATTTATTGAAAGGCAGATGGGATTAACATCACATGCTAATAGAAAAGACTTGTTTGAATAGCAAGCATAACTTAACAATAGATAGAAATTTGGTACAGTAACAATAACAATTGATAATTGCAGATAACTTAGTTGGGCAAACAAGACAATAACTTAAGTTAGAGGGTCAACTTGTACTTTTAGTACTTTTGTTGTACTGTTAGTAAACTTAGGCTATTATTAGCCTAATTGATACTTTAAACATCTATCCTAATACAACTCAGAACTTATGGTTGAAATTAAAGATATAAGCAACCATTTTGTTAGAGAAAGGATGTTTATAATTGCCTGTGACATCCTGTAACTTAGAGTTTATTTTTCCCATAGCCGAGCGTAGGAGCGGAAATGCCGAGATTCCTAGAAAGCGGCGATTAAACCGAACTGCTCTCAAAATAAGGCCGGTTAAAACAAACTGTAAAATTTTACGAGCAAGGGCGGACAATCCAATTATCAGTAAATGTGAGGTTGGTTGAGAGGTCTAGGCCTACTGTACTTTGATTTGATTCAGTTATAACTTATTTTGTTTGTTTACCTATTGATTTATTTACTGGTAAGTTAGTTGTTTTAAATAAGAAGTATGTAATCATGGTTTTTTTTCAGAAATGCAACATTGATGGAAAAAGGTTTTCCGGCCCCTAAAGCCATCAAAACGGGAACTACAATAGCTGGAATAGTGTACAAGGATGGTGTCATTCTTGGTGCAGACACCAGGGCTACTGAGGGAAACATCGTGGCTGACAAGAACTGTAGCAAAATCCACTACCTCGCCAAGAACATTTAGTAAGTAGACAAGTAGACCCTACCAATAAAATCAAGAATTGTAGCTAGTGTTTTTATCTGAAAACAAGCAAGTTCTGGTGTAGTGTACTGTATAGTAGTTATGAGATCGATGGTTACTTTGGAGTAAGTACCACACCAAATCGTAATTTGCTGTTTATATTGTAACAGCTGTTGTGGTGCCGGAACTGCTGCAGACACAGAACAGACAACAAGCCTGATTGCTTCTCAGCTGGAATTGCATCGTCTGCACAGCGGACGACAGGTTAGAGTGTGTACTGCCGAGACGCTGCTGAAGCAGATGTTGTTCCGTTATCAGGTCAGTTAATAGTGTTATTGGCTTGAATTCTTTTGAGATTTAATTTGTCTTTACTTGATAGTGTTGAAACAGGTTTTGTATGGTATTTTTAAAGAATATAAAGTAATCTGCATGATGGTAAATTTATGTTATTTAAGGAATTATTGCCCAGCCATTTTCCGTCACGATGAAAAAAAATTTTTCACGACTTTTGTGGTGTAGAATCTGACCCCATCCTCGGGTGAGAAAGTACCTAAAACTGTACAATATTAGAACACAAACCCTGCCATACATTAACACCACCAGAGCATAGAGTACAATAGTCAAAACCAGAACAAAAAATTGTCAGTCACGCTTGAGCCACTATGTTGTGCAGATGTGTCATAGAATCTTTCTTTAGGTATGGTCCAATTTTGTGGGCCCAAGCTTCCAGTACGAAATCTATATACAGATATAAAAAGTATGCCAAGGCCATTTTAAAATATATGGTTAACAGAATTGTACATATTAGAATTGTTAATGTTAGCATGGCTAATGTAGCTTGTGTGTTTGTTAAGGGTCACATCGGCGCTGCCCTGATTGTGGGAGGGATGGATATAGACGGGCCTCACGTCTACTGCATCTACCCTCACGGTTCTTCTGAGTCACTTCCTTACACAACCATGGGCTCCGGCTCTAGAGCTGCTATGGCTGTGTTTGAAGCTCGTTGGAAACCAAACATGACTGTGAGTTTGAGCATTTTTCTATTTGGTTGTGTTATTTCCTTTTCTAGGTTTAACCTTTGATGGCTGGACATTCACTGAGAAGGCGAACACATCCGTACGTGGGTTTACAATTGGCTACCTTGTGGCGGCAGACGGAATTGTTCCTTAATTTCTGAATATCCCTTATATGTCCAGGGAAAGTTTATCACATAGGAGATGCTGTGCTTGCGAAACAAATAACCATCATTACCGTAGCTGAAAAAATGCCTGAGATAGGCATAACTAGCCTATGAAATATCCAGATATACAGGGTGATTGATATAAGTGTGCCAGCCGTTTTATTCGAAAACTATAAGAGATATCAAAAAAAGTTAAATGGTAAGTGCCTTGGATTTTTTATTTAAAAAATTATAGTCAAGTCAAAAAAATTATTTTAGCCGCCATTTTTCCAATATGGCCGCCAACTTTGATTTTTCTTATGAAACACCCTGTATTTTATGATGTATTCTGGTAGAAAAAGTAATTTTAAGACAATTTTATTCTTGTGATTTTTTTCATAAACCTAACCGTTTCAAAGATAATAATGGTTTAAGTTGTGAAATTTTGAATGGTTTTCGAACAAAACAGCTGGCATGCTTGCTTAGGCCTTTATCGAAACTCTTTCTCATGCAGAAATTTCAAAACTTTAACCATTATTATCTTTGAAACGGTTAGGTTTATGAGAAAATCACAAGAATAAAATCGTCGAATTACTTTTTCTACCAGAATACATCATAAAATACAGGGTGTTCCGTAAGAAAAATCAAAGTTGGCGGCCATATTGGAAAAATGGCGGCTAAAATATTTTTTACATACATGATATATGATACATGATACATGATCTCTCCGTCCGTAGTCCTTTGCCTTAAGGAATTGGACAGGTCAGGGTTAATACAAAGAATAACCAGCTTAATACTAATTTTTGTCACGGTCTAGGTAACTGTCTATGTCCTCTAAACTTAACTCTACTAGATATTTTTTTAATTCTGATTTGAATTTTGTTAAGCTCTGAATTTCAAGTAATTTTTTCGGTAGGGCCTGGTACAATTTCATTCCCATGTAATCTGGTTTGTGTTCAAATGTTGTGAGTTTATGTTGGACTGCATGTGTGCCCTTTGTTCGTGTGTTGTAAGTGTGATTTGTAAAAGTTGGTTTAATGTTCTGTGATTTTATATAGCAAACTGATTCATAGATATAAAGTGAAGGGACTGTGAGAAAGCCAAGTTCTTTATAAACATTTTTGCAGCTGGTCCGAGGCGGCATGCCCAAGATTGCTCTTACTGCCATATTCTGCCAAACAAAGATCTGGTCAATATTCTTCTTAACAGCTCCCCATAGAATGATTGAATACAAAATGTGCTGTTCTATTAGGCCAAAATACACAAGTTTAGAGAGAGCCAGGTTTCCGAAGGTTCTTATTCTTCGAAGTACAAAGACCCCTCGAGCCATAGACCCCTCCAGTTTTTTTATTTGTGCATCCCAGCTCAAACTACAACTATTTTTGACTTGACTACAATTTTTTAAATAAAAAATCCAAGGCACTTACCATTTAACTTTTTTTGATATCTCTTATAGTTTTCAAATAAATCGGCTGGCACACTTATATCAATCACCCTGTATATATAGCCCAAAGTACCTATGAACTTTTGAGAAAACTACAAGTCACACCCCCATAAACCATATAGGCCTACTTAAAATGTTCGTCATGACGTTAAATCTTGTGCAAAACTATCCATTATTTCATAAATTGCCCTTTATGGTCGTAATTTACTTTCTAAAGGAACTTTCCATATACCTAATGTTAAAAATATCTCAGCTGTACTTATTTGTATGTTATTCTTTCAATTTATTACCTTATCAGGTGTGATTATTTGTTTGTATTACCACTGTATTCTGTTTTATTTATTTCAGCTTAACTTAACCAATAGTCAATAACTTAACCAACTTAATCAATAGTTGTATTAATACTTTATGAAGTCAAACGGGGTGAAGCCCGTGGGTAACAGCTAGTTACCAATAATTCACAAGAAGTGCTACTGTCATAGATTTAAATGAAATCTCAATAGTTTGTTGGTGGCTCAACTAGCTTCTCTGTTGTAGGAAGAGGAAGGCAAACTGCTGATGAGAGATGCTATTGCTGGAGGTATCTTCAATGACTTGGGTTCTGGCAGCAACGTAGACGTCTGTGTTATCAGGAAGGACTCAGTCGATTACTTACGTCCGTACGAGCTAACTGTCTCCAAGGGACAAAGGTGAGTTGTCAAATAATCACTTACAACACCCTTTGAATCTGTCACAGGTAGTCTGCAGTAAATGCTTTCTGTGCAATCGCTACTTTTAACTAATTTGCGTATAGCGGGGAACGGGGGAATATTATCGCGGGATGGGGCACCTGGAGACAGGGGACTGCTCTGAGCATACAGTCTGATCATAATACATCCCACACCACACCACCGTCCAGACTGTACAATGCACTCAGCACTTGGCACGTTAGCAATACTTCAAGGTCCCAAATTATTATTATTATAATGGATTATTCCCTAATTATTTTTTCTGTAATGCGTATATGCGAAACTGTATACCTATATCAGTACCTAGCCCATACATCAGGAACTATGTGTACCCAAAACCCTGTATAGTGAGTGAGCAGGAATATCACATTGCTTTTTTCCCATTTTCCCTTAGAATACAAGTTTTAGTTTAAGAATACCTGGTTTTGAGTGAGTAGTGCTGCTCTGGATTAGTTGGTACCTCAAACAGTTTTGATGCCTCGTCGTCTTCTAGGAGTCTTTAATATCCCCAGCTGAAAGGGTTGCTAAAACGCTATTTTAAAGGTTAAAATATCTTCTAAAACTACATTGTAAAAAATATTTTTGGAAATGTAGCGTTTCAACATTTGAAGTTTCAGCCTATATACCACCAGGTCTGTACAAAACTTCGTGTTTAACTGCCTCATTAAATCCAAACCCTTTTTATACTAATTTAGGCTATGCGGATTCAGTGGCCATTGTAGCAACCAAAACACCATACAGTAGAACTCCAATTATCCGAACTCCAATTAACCGAATCTCCAATTATCCGAATCGCTTATTTCAACAATTTTAAAAACGTAAAGCTACAGTAATAAGTTTTGCAAAATATCAAAGAATTGTTATTAAACACATTTAGCCAATTTTGGACTTTGATGGAACACTATTCACTTAATAACATGTATAGAACACTTGTACTATGAGCATTGTAAACTGTAAAAATTATTAGGCCTATTAATTAAAAGTTCACTTAGTACCGAAAATGAGGATTTTTTTTAAAAATTCCCGGAATTCCGGTAAAACTCCGATTATCCAAATTTTTGATTATCCGAATGGGGTCTGGTCCCTATTGATTCGGATAATCGGAGTTCTACTGTATTAAAATAACAAACTAGCCTAAATAACAAAAAAAGTTTCCAAGTTGATGACTGGGAAACTTTTTTTATACTCAAGTAAATAAAATAAAAATACAACATAGTTAAATGAGCATCTCACAGAGTGAGCTAAATTGAATTTCTTAGCCTTTTTATTCTACCTTTATGACACAACATATCATATAGTTTACAATCTTTTTTATTTTGAGTTAGGCTTGGTTAAAAAGTTGGTATAATTCAACAGAAATTAGTAATTTACTCCAGCGCAATATGTCGGTGGCCCGATTCAACAAAGTTAATTTACATTCTAAGATGTACAACTTTAACAAGGGAATACAATGTTTCTATCAGATATGCCTAGTCAAAGACAATTAGTGATGTAAAATACCCAGGTATTTAAAACTCGGGGTAAATACCCTGGGTATTTACCCGGGTAAATACCCAAAATCCATAAATACCCGGGTATTTTGGGTATTTATGAAATCAATTGAAATTCGTTTATATTTACCCCTAGATATGTTATTATCATTACATGATAAATTAGGATAGTCTATAACACCTTTTACAGTAACTTGAAGCTTTGCTCGTTTAATGATTTAGCACTTTTTTTTTTAATACACAAAGTTTCTAAATAAGCATGGGGTTTTGTTTCCTAAATTGAGTAACATCAGTTAAATTTAACTTATGAAAAAATAGTATATTAAAAAAGGCTGTGGCTATTTCAATTTTTATCATTTTATAAATTTATAACCAATTAAATAACATAAACAAAATTATTTTAATCTATAAACAAATATCCAGGAATGGTTGGGTATTTATGATGCAAAATTTTTATTGTACCTATAAATGGTTTGGAAGGCTAGACAGACCTTAGTCCCGATTGACATAGGCAGAAAGGCAGAATACTAAAAGTAATTCAACTTTTCTGTGTTACCGCTTAGTTGGAAACAATAATATATTTGGATAAACCTACTAAAAAATGTATCTCCTGTTTTTTGGTCTAACTTAACATAATTTTGAAAGATTTATTGTGCTATAGATTCAAATGTTTTGTATCACAAGTTTATGAAATTAGTTTTTTTTTATACCATTGATACCAACAAAAGATCTAGAACAAAAATATTATTAAATCCTGGCATCCTACAGATAGAATTTTAAAATTATTTTCTTAAGTTGTTTACACATAGACCACTACTAGGTTAAATTTTCCGTTCTTTCTAAATAATAATAATTACTTTGCAAATTATTTTTTTTCACTTTGAATCAAATAAATTCATCTATGAAGTCCTATCTATCATAGAAATTAAAAAATCATAAGTAGTCAGGACCAGTGCAACCATGCGACCAGGGTATTTATGCCGATTATGCTTCATGCTCAGACCTGGATATTTATGGCGATTATACCCAGAAGTAAAATGCCAGTAGTGACCATATGAAATTTTGTTTAACACATTTTATCATCATTTTACTATCCTTACAAGGTAATAATTGCAAAAAAAAACATCTAAATCTTCTCTAACTTTAATAAAAATTATAAATACCCAGTTTTTGGGTATTTACCCGGGCCTGGGGTAAATACCCAGGTAAAAACCCAATTTATATTTACCTACCCACTGGGTATTTACCCGGCCCACATCACTAAAGACAATACATCATGTACTAAGTGTTAGTTTGTTGTGTAATAATTCAGTAAAAACCACTGGAGGTGGTTATCAATATTATCAATGATCAAAGTGTGTTATTTACAGACAAGGGACATACACTTACGCGCGAGGAACCACTGCAGTCTTGTCCACAAAAATCATTCCTCTGCAGATTGTGGATCAAAGTGTTCAGAGAATTGAACCCGAGTCTATGGAAGTTGCTTGAAGAATTATTGTATTGCCTTTAAATCACATCTTGCTAATGGTTTCATATTTAATTGGTAAATAAAAATTAACCTTTTCCCATGTACTTTTCAATTGCAATCATTGTCCTTTGTCATCCTTTTAACAGGCCTATTAGGCACATTAATGTTCAATTATTAAACTGGATATATTGTTGTTTCAAATTAAAAATAAGCCCATTCTTCTCATACATAACAAACTGGTAGGAAACAACACTTGATTATTTTGCCTGCTTTCTAAATAAAAATATATTCTCACAGATATATTTCAAATTTTCCTTAAACATTCATTAGTACAATAATAGTACAATGTTTCGGCTTAGTATGACATTAGGGAAATATGCTCAGTATTAACATTACAGTATATTCTCTATATAAAAGGGGGAGGCTCACAAACTCCAATAGCCTAAATTTTAAGTCCCAAAGTACAGTCCGGGCCAGAAGTTGCTGCAGGGTTTGCCACGGTCAGATTGCAGGCACCGCACGTTCTTGCGTTGTTAGCCATGTGCTATGAATCAACATTGTGCCTGCGTTAATGTATTGTAAAGAATGTAGTATTGATAAGACATAAGACATTTATTGATCTTTAGGCAAAATTACATGCAATCGATCTTGTCATGGATGCTTGGAATGCACAAGACAGTCATAAGTACAATAGTAAAACATGCTGACTAAAGCAAACATAAAAATAAGTGTTCATTCTACTCTTCAGAACCAATATTGATTAAGGTAAAACAGGTCCAAATAAACATTACGATTGCTGATTTTATTTTTTATTTAGGTACTTAAAAATAAGCTGATGGCAATATAACAGTGTAGGAAACCCCATGTTTTATCACATGTGCAGAATAAACGCAGTCAACAAATCGGCACATCTGTAGCCCTAAAATTGAGTTAATAAACTTCTTAGTTCTTAACTATTTTATAAAAACAACAAACTAGATGAAACACTGGAAAGGACTCCCAGATAAGTTGTAAATACAATCTTTAAAAGTTTAGGAAAGTATAGTAAATATGCTGAAGAGAAATTGTTAATTTCTTGTTAAATAAAGGTATGCATTGTTGTGAGTAGCTCCACGGTACAAATACAATATTATTGTATGTAAAGGCATGATAACAATATTGGTGTTAAGTGGTCAAGTGGTCAATGCCATTGTAGCTTACAAAACGTTTCACACTAGTACTATTTATTTCTCATAATTTTGCGAAATTAAAATATAGTTTAAAACAAACAAAAGAAAACAAGACTAGGTATATAGGTTTTGCATCTAGCTAATATCAAAGATGGCGGCAACTAGATTAATGGTATTCATTGCTTTTTCTAGAGTTTCATTTAGTTGGTTTGTTTATCTAAAGTAGGAAGGATATGTATTATATTATAAAAATATGTAAATATTGTGTATCTTTGCAAATAACATGTATAAAGTGGAAAAACATTGGTGGTTGTATTATGCCCAAAATCAAGAATAAAACGTTTAAATTGGCGAATAATACAGTTTAGGCAACTTCAAATCTTAGGTTCTCAATTGCGTAAGTGTAATTTCATTTTATCTAAATGAAATAAGCAATAATTAAAAAGGGGTTGAATTTTTCATGCGTATATAGGATGTATATTTGCAGCAATAGGGTTGCTCAGTTGGTTTGAATTTTGTTTAAAATCACAAACAATTCTTCAATTGCAATTCATGCGGAAATGTTGTAAGACGTTAAAATTAATTATAACACAATTTTCTTAGAAGGAAAAATTTACCATCAAGATAAAGTTGTACAATTAACAAATTAACTATGATATAAAATTGTATTTTACCAAGGAATAAATAATCATCAAAACTAAAATTTATCTCACAGCCTAAAAATTATGTTTACAAAACCCTAAAAAGTTAGATTTGTCATGTTTTTTGTCATACTGCACCAATTTTTGAGATAACTGATTCAGGGCTCATGTTTATAGGTCATCTTACACAGTTGTATAAAGAAATATCATGTATATACCGAGACATTTTTTTGCTACACCGTTGGAATTTTTGACGTTTTTTGTAAGGGAATGGTCTTGTTCCTATCTATTTCAGCGTTTTGTTGGATATGATATGTAATTGATGGACCAATAACAAATGACATCTGGATCCAGAAACGATCTTGCTTGAAATCAAACTGGCGACTTCCAGATTGTAACGGCAATAATATACAAGGGGTTGCATTTTTTTTATGTATATAGGATGTATATTTGCAGTGATAGGGTTGCTAAGTAAGCAATAGCAATCCAGCAAATGACAATTAATAATATAAAAATATTAACTACTGTACTTTCCATTTAAAAATACCCCCGCCGCAGCAAACCTGCAGACAAAGCCTGATTGCCTGAATTTCCATTTGCCTGATTGGATTTACACTAAAATGTCTCCTTTAAAATATCCCATTCATTCCTTATTTAAACATAATTACTTTAACGAGAACTAAGGTTTGTCACAACAGGGAGGGTGAAAGTATTTTTTTTGTTTTTGTAAAATGTGAATAGTTTATAAAGAAATAAATGTATTTTCCAAATTTGATCAAAATATGTTCATAAACAAGGCAAACTACAACAGTTTACTTATTCTCCATAAGAATAACATGGGAATTTTAAATTAAATTTTTTTGGGGAATTTTCTCCATAACCATTAGGCACATAACGCTTCAATATACTAAATTAATTGTTTTCTTAAGCTCTACATAATGTTTTGGAAAGAAATTGCTTATCTTTATGTTTTATGGGTCAAAAATGGGGAAAACCAGTTTTTACCCCATAAACCCCTGTTCCCATAGTCCGAACATGCTAGTACGCAAACTCATTTGAATAAATGTTGGTTTACACGTTTATACCAAATTTCATCAAAATCATTTTTGCTCAAGCTATTGTGCAAACGAACGGACACACACATTGAACGGATGGTGTTTTTGGCCTCTAGGGACCTCAAAACGTAAAATTAAATCGGTTCCGGGTCCAGGAATAACCACAAGTAGACTACTACGGTAATAGCTTATTCCCTATATGGGAAATTTGCTAACAAAGTTTTCGAGCAAGAATAAGGGACAGCTGATATATTCCCTCAACCCCAGCTTATTCAAACAACAATACACTTTAATGCTTTTATACCCTATGTATAAACAAATTACTTAATTATGCGATGCATTTACTGAAAACAGCCGTTGAAGGCGCAGTATGACAAAATTACATTTTAAACGGAACAAATTTATTTGTACAATTAATGTTATCATCATAAAAACGATCCATTTAGTCAAACGCATATCAGTTTTAAGTTCTCGTTTACTCAAGGATACGATGTGATATTGTTTAAAAAGCTACCTCAAGAACTTCACTATAATATGGAATAAAATCAACTAATAACAGTAAAAATTTAAAATTAAAATTATTTTCAGTTACTAAAACAAACAAATATAAAATACTGAGTGTTTAATCTAGCTTGCTAAATCAGACATTCATATGTATAAGACAATATACTTTACCCCAAAATCTCCCATACAGGTAAAATGAATGTATTATTATAGTTTTACAAGTAAAATAAGTGTGCAATCACGTTAGTTTGACAGTCTTGTATGTGCAGAGATGATGGACGGCAAGTGACACTTCCAATAGATACATTTCATTGAAACATTTTCCAGATTCAATACTTGGCTAACTGGGCTGATAGTCTAAAGGTGTTTATATCAGGAGTAAGTGTAAAAAATAACAAAATACTAAAATAGCAATGCTTAAATCAATCCAAAATTATAACTTGAGAACCAAATTAGAGGTTTATAGTAGGCCCATCTTTTTATTATATACTTTTACAAAGTAATATCTTTGAGGGGCTATAAATATGTTCGGTAGTAGATATTAAAAAATTATATGCTAATTTAGGCCCACTTGTATCATAAGAATATATCATAGTTAGAAAAAATGTGAAGTTGATATTTAGGTAAATATTAAACCTGGCAATCACCACATTAGTGAAGCCCAGGGCATACTCTTGCCTTAAAATGATGTTTCATAAACACTAGTTCTAAGCCCTAATGCTCAATTCAGATATACAATTATTGTGTTTGTTTTTTTTCAAGTTATTATGCAAAGTTGTTAAAATTTGTATACTCTTTTTTTATATCAGCCATTCAAACTAAAGTTTACAGTGTAGGAAATGTAATGAAGCAATATATGGAAGTAATTTGAGTTAAGCTAAATATCTTATAACAAAATATAATTTATAATATCTATATGCAATTTACATATGTACAAAGCTAATAGATAATATTGAGTGCCCAAATCAGTGTTAGTAAATTTGAGTAACTATGTATGCATCAGAAGCTTCAAGGAGGGTGTTATGACATTGAAGTTACAAATACAAGAACAAAAACACAAATTGCCTATTTTTCCAAAATACATTTTTAAAATAATCGTATACAAAAGCAAACATTTGATAAGATTTAATCAACAACTCAGGTTAAAATATGCCCATAAATAGCTTCAAGCTATTGTTTTCAGTCTTAGGTAACTAGGTTAGTGATATATACAAATAAATACACATTGATCAAAATATACAGCAGTAATAAAATCATTCAGAAAATATTCAAACATCTTTGAGAAAATATCAGTCTCAGGAATTTTAAGTACTGGGTCAATTCCTGAGCTTAAACCAATCTAGTAACATAACTGCATGTAAACTTACAAGCATATTGGTCAAAACTTAACATACAAACATCAATAAATTGGAAAACAGTATTTTTAAAGAAGAAACACATTTCAACGCGGGACAAATACAACATCAGTTTCAACTGCCGAAACTAAACATTGTTTCTCAACTTGCCATCAAACATAACAATACTTGCAACGACATACATATAAACTTTGATAACAGTAGATATATAATTTCTTCCCTATACTAATACCTTAATACTAGTTTGTGCTAAGAAATTAGTGCATCAACAGTAGTTTTTGACCTAGGAGTTAGATTTTGACATTTTTATTCTTCAGCTTACGCAATCTGTGAACTGCTTTGTCCACTAACAAAGGAAGGATGAAGAAGGATTCTCGACTGAAATAAAATCAGATTATAGATCAATTTTAGTAACAAAATGATACAATTTTCAATTTAAAAGATAAAAAAATAAGATTCAATAAATTAAGTTAAAATATTCTAGGTGTATTAAAGTATTAAAGCATGAATCATAAAACTTAAGCCATGCAGTAACAGGCAAATATATGTATATAAATATAATTCTGTAGTAAAATTTAAGTTATATAAGCACCATTGATCAAGTATGGCTTACACTGACTCTATTGTACTTTATTTTCTCCAACAAGTTATTTCTTGCCCTTACAAACATATTGAAATATTCTCACAATTGACAAAAAAATAGTCATAAGTGGAATTGTTAGTGAATTCTTAAGTTACTAAGCTCTACAAAAAGTGTTACTTAGACAGGCACTACCAAACGGTAAAAAATTAAAATACAAAATATGAAACTCTAAAAGCGTAAACGCTCAGATCTATGTAATATTATCACTTAGATCATGAAATAGGATAGACATTTTACAAGGAAAGATGAGGAAGATACTTAAAGCTACTAAGTGTTATTGCAAAGCCATTGGGCTCTAAAATAATTGGCAATCGGTGATATATTTTAACAGTGTAGAATATAAGGCCAGAATGCCTATTTTGTGTAATACTAATAATTGGAACCAAGGTTTTACTGAACAACAAATGGAGCAGTGCTTCAATGAGATCTAGTAAAATGTATTGATTGTTTTAGACTCCATGTTTTGCTTCATCTTGATCAAGCCATATACACAAGTTCACTTGTTAAAACACCTGCTCACATGGTGGAGGCGACAGCAGAGTTAGTAGTTTACACATGGCAGATTTCATTCAGACTAGGATGACATTCTATGAAACTGTATTTAGATAATTAAATAAAGTACAGCATTTATCTCACAGTAAAATTAGTCAAATAGATGGTGATATTTAATTTTATACCCGTAGAGTACTTACAATTAATTGGCAAATTGTGATTACCTATATCAAGCATTTTTGAGATTAAAGCGTTAGACATTTCATCCCAAATAAATTACGCAAACATAAAAAGCAAGAACACTGAGAGACATTTAACACATACAAACAAAAGTTAACACAAATACTATGGAAAAGTTTAGTTGAAAACACAAGTGCAGTTAGGATTTAAACAAAGAAAATATAACATAGTTAAGCTTAACTCTAACAGCTGCATGTATTCTTCTAACGGTTGTTTTCAATTGAGAATTTCTTATCTCAATTTTAAAAATTCTATAACTCTCAAGGCAGATTTCAATAATCAGTAATTTCAGTTAACAAATAAACAACAAAACTTATTTGGAGGAACTGAGGATCTATCAATTTTAAATTACTCTAATTACAAATTAATTTTAAATTATAAACCTTAAAATTTTTTAATATTTATTTGAAGGATAAAGAAGTATACAGTATATGAACTTTTATAAACATTTGTAACTGATATTTTTATTGCCATGTTATGTAGTAATTTTAGAAGTATCACCTACAAACAAACTAACCCCACTGTCTTGTCCAAACACAGATTTATAAGGAGTCTCAAGATTCTTTTGATTTTATTGCATCACAAAATTAACTGTCTACAAATAGGATTACATAAATGAAAAAATCTACAAAAGCAGATAACAAAATATAACTATATTTTATAAGCACATAAATAAGTACTGAATAAAACCTTGATTCGTACAACTTCTAAGGCACAACAACAGTGGTAACTCGACTACCGTGTTACTAAAGCGACATTTATACGTCGCACTTCGGCAATTAAGGATTCAAAGACTAATATAAAAATAGACGAGTCGCAAGATTAGTTTGCTGGTCAGGAGTAGCAGGTACGTGGTGAGAGAGGGTGATTCAGCCGTCGTCAGCACATCAGAATACTTCGACTGAAAAACTCTAACTGCCGGAATAAATACCTACAATCAGAACAACGCCTCGTGTTAATCTACGCCAACTTAAGCATTATCTGTTATCTATAGGATTGATTGTCAAAACCAGAAATTCAAAATCTCTAAATCAAAACTTAAAAATTATATTGTGAAACTCCTATTTATTTACTTGTCTGGTTATAGTTTTGGAATTGAACTACACTTTCTCTCTAGACAAGCCTCTTCCTACAGATTCTCATGATAAAGTTGTACCAAGTTAAAAATGTACGTTTGAATTGAGCTGCGAAAAAAGTGTACTGATTGAAATTACTGATTTCCGTTTTTTAGTTTGTTTCTATGTAAAGTCTTGATTGACGGATACTATAAATATTTAATATAAAACAAATAATAATGTCATATTTAAAATGCTCCTAGTGAGCATAACCAAGCCATGACAAAGGGTTAGACATTAACAGCTTGTTTAGATGAACCGCTGTAATTTCTTTTAAAACACAAAAAAAAAAAAATGGTAGAACATTTGTCTATTAAATTGCCAATTAAAATTTAGTTTTTGGTTGGAGTTTTGGTTTTGCCACAGCCCTAAATTAAAAAATTGTAACTGCAATTTCCAAATATATATACAATAGAGTTTCGATTACTAAACCTAAATCGCCAACGACAAGATCGATCAACTGAGATGTTTAAATGAAAAGTAAAACAGTTACCTAAATACTATGAAACATTGAATTTGACGTGAGTAAATCAATATTATAAACTTTGTTTTGTTTTAAGAAACTTTACAATTAAAATATTAACATCGTGAAAACTGCAAAACTGCTCCAATAAAATATGAGAGTTGTTAATGACTAATTTCATATATATGTATGTCCATTGATTAATATTTTCTATTTCTGCTGTATGGTTTATTTGTGAAAATTAATTATCACATGTTTTTAAAGACTACTGATATGTTGAACTGAAATTGACTACTGTATTTTCATTTGACTAGAACATTTGACAATTTAATAGATGCGTAAGGATGAAGAGTTGTACAATACTAGGAGTCGTACGAAAGTTCAGGGGTTTGAAACCTAGTAGCCAGTCTCGTTGTAAAGTACAGTACAAGCAGGGTCAGATAACTAATAGTCTAATAATCCAGAATCTAATGTATATCATTTTCTGTTACTATTTAGCCACTTCTCAGTTTATTATTCCTAACAGTGTGGGCTAAAATTTTCTGTTTTCTTATATTTCAAAACAAAATTCAAAAGCACTAAACATCTAATTTGTAGTTTGTCTATGGAATTAATAAAAAATCTTTGTGCCAATTTAATAAAAAACATAAAATATGATGTTAGAAGGTACTTTTTTTCCTTAATCTTATCTTTTGGATACATGACCAAAATTGTTAACCTCTGGTTTATTAAAGTCCGTTGACATTTTGCTGTTAGTCAAAACACACAACTAGCCTACATAAAGTAGGCTACACTTGCACGATTGGGCTAGGTCATGTTACCACTATATAGAAACAAGTCAGCAAACTTAGAACGGTTTTGATTATAATTTTGACAGTTTTGTGTCTGAAGCTACACTAACAACTCCTAAAAACAATAAAAAATATGTCTAAATCTTTTTGTGAACATACTAAAGATGGTTTTTGAATCTCAGAAGTCGCCTAGAGTTTGAAAATAATATATGAATAAACAAACTAAAATGATTTTAATAGGTCCCTTCTTTTAAAAGCTGTAGAATAGAATTATTGACCATATACAATGACAAAACTTAGAAACTATTTATAGCAAATGCCAGTGTAAATGTTTGAAGGTAATCAATTCCATTTCAACTTAAACCAAATATTTTGCATTTATTCTAACGGCATGCTTTTAACTGATTGTGGCACCCAAATATAGAATATCTCTGTAATTTTTTATATAATCCCAACCTAAAGCAAATTTGAATTCCTGTTACCATGAAAATTTCTATTTAAACCACCATGCAAATGAAATAAATAAGATATTGACATGCCCACTCCCATTTTTACCATAAAACACTAAGATCATGATATAATATTTTAAATAAGCAATGCATAAATTCAATTTCATATGGAAGAAGATGTCTTGATTATAATAAACACACTCTTCAAAATTCTTAAGAACCACTTTTTATGAACATTTTTTTCTAAATAAATAAATCTTTTCTTAAACATAAATTAAGAGTCTTCATCACCCCTCTAAAAAAGGGCAAAACATGTATTTTTATTTAACTACTTCCGATACTATTTGTCGAGGCTGAATTTGGAAATACAGTACATGTTTTCTAGTAGTCAAAGCAAAAGCATATACAGGGTGTCCCGGAACTCTCTACCAATATTTTAGGTCATTGATCCTGGGTAAGAAACGTACCTAAATATCATATTTAAATTGTCCGGAAGTCCTTAGTTACTCACACAGCCGCCATTTTGGTTTTTTCAGTTATTATTTTTTTTCTAAAGAATGGTTAAACATACGAAATGGAAACTTGGCACAAACATTTATGCCAACTAGACAAAGCTACAAAAAAATTTTGAAGATTTTTCAAATTCATAAAACAAAATGGCGGCCATTTAAAATTTTCTTTCTTAAATAACTCAAAAGCCATTGATTTTACAAAAATGTTAAAAGGCCGCCATTTTGTTTTATGAATTTGAAAAGCCTTGACAATTTTTTGGTAGCTTTGTCTAGTTGTCATACATGTTTGTGCAAAGTTTCCATTTCGTATGTTTAACCATTCTTTAGAAAAAAATTAATAACCGAAAAAAACAAAATGGCGGCTGTGTGAGTAACTAAGGACTTCCGGACAGTTTAAATATGATATTTAGTTATGTTTCTTACCCAGGAGCAATGCCCTAAAATATTGGTAGAGAGTTCCGGGACACCCTGTATAAAAAAACTAGGGTAGCTCAAATATACATATTTTTTATCATAAGTATTATTTTTGAGGGCCGAAAATTGAAATTTTTACTAACAATTTGGAAATAATTTTAATTAACTTAAGATAATGTTGCAGTTTACTCTTTTATTGCATGATAAAAAATAGAACAAAAGGATTTGGTTAATAACGTCGACCTAAACAACCAAATAC